GAAGAAAGAAACTATAAGCATGAAAATTTAAGCGTGAATGCTGGCTCAGCATTTTATAGAAATGTATTTAATTTGTTTGTTTTGATAAAGTGTTTGCCATGATGTGACAAGTTGTGTAAGCTCAGCAGTTGAAGCAGTGACTCATTAGGAGCTAACTGCTCCAAACCACTATGAATTAAATCAAACCAGAAGTGCACACACGCACACACATGCACACACACATCCCTGTTTTAACAGCACAGGCACCACTAAAAGTGTTGCACACTAAGGAATACACAACCATACTGTACGTCCCGTTGTTTTAATGCAGAACATTACTCATCGTGTGACTCAAGCACGCTGATAGAGGAATGCAAACCACAAACTACCACTTTTCTCTCCTTCACACAAACACACACACCAAACGGGAGGAGTTGTGAAAGACTGAAAGAATGCACCCGTTGGGCAATAAAGTCTACTTTCATTTCAAGTCATTGTTAACCGGTAGGGGGAAGCATTGCATGCATCTACGTGTGCCTTCAGTGCAACAGCTTACCCTGAGTGAGCGGTGTGGCCACAGTGACCTGGACTCCATCCAAACTGCAGAGGTGCCCGCAGGGGTCAAGGGTCACCACCCCTCCTGTTAGAGTAGGTGTGATGTTAGGCACATTCCCGCTTTATCGTGTATGTAATTTACATTTTAATGTGAAACTGTCACTGTAAAATTTAAAAAAAAATCATTCTGATTATATTATTTATAGAAAAAAAATAAGTGATGTTTACATTGAGTGTGGACCTGCATTTTAGAATATGTAAAACTATAAACTTTCTCAAATTGCACCATTTGATAAAGTTCAAAATCCCTTTTTTTCTGTGAATGGTTATAAAGAACTCATTATTGAGATCAGTTTTTCCTTTGTTCATGCATGTATCTCATTCCACAATTTTTGTGCTATTTATATAAAAAAACATTCAGCTCCTTCAGGGCCTTATGGTTATGGCTGTTGGTACTTCAATAATTTATAAATTCTGAGGTATTTAGCATTTTCTGCCAATTTTTCTCATTGAAAATGAAGCTGTTTTCAACATCCGTAAAACCCTTTAAAGTTATAAATCTGTACTGAACATTTCACCCTTTGTTTTGGTTCTGCTTTTTAAAACTTATTTGTTCTAATTTTAGCTTCCTTTGGCTTTTATTACGCTGACTAGCTTTTTTTCAGGTTTTTAGCTATTATTGTGACTGCTATTCTTCTGCTAGTTTGAGCTTTCTTTCAGCTGCTTCCTGCTAATTTCAGCTGTTTTTTTTGTTTTTAGCTACGTTTTAGCTAATTTGAGCTTTATTCATCTTAATCCACCTTTTGTGATTATTTCAACTTTTTACTGCTTAATTCAGCAAATGTGTACTTTCTGTTTTTTTGCTAATTTCATTTC